CCATAATGCCTTATCAAGGTCCTCTAGCAGATCGCTGATCAGGGGCACAGGGTAGGCCATCAACCTCGTGAGGCTGTTTACCAGTTTGTAATCGATGCACAACCTGATATCTACGCCGTTACTCTTGCGAACAGTAACGATCGATGAGGCTCGTGTCGATGTTGAGGGTCGGATGATCTCGGTGGCCAGGAGGCCCTTGATCAGGCCTGCGACTTTTTCATGAAATCGCGTTGGCGCTTTCCGGTTTCGCAGTGCGATCGGTTTCGCATTTCCGACATCGATATCACACACGACGCCCTTGGCCACAGGGGGGTAAGGCGTTCCCTTTGTCGATCAGAAGATGTCGCTTCTTCCAGATTATTTGCCGGAGCCTCTCGATCTCCTCAGGTGTGGCCGATCCGGAGTCTCCCACCTGCAGATCCTCAATGCTCACCTTCGCAGTCGTCGTGATCCGGATTTCGGAGAGGACAGCCAGGTTTCCTTCAAGATCTTCCGCTGAGAGATCGCCACTGTCATGGTAATATATCTCCTCATCGTCCTCGGCATCCTGTGGGGTGGTCGCTGTAGCTCCTTCTGCCGGCGGATCTCGTTTTCCGACGCCCTCAGTCGGGCAGATCGGGAGTTTTGCGTCGGGTTCTTCGCCGGGATCGAGTTTGATCTGGGCTTGATTGAGTTGGATCTGGGTTTGATGTTCCGTTTTCGACTCGATATCCTTGATGTCAGTCTGATTTCCCGTCTTGATATCTTTGGTGTCCGTCCGATCGGTGGCCTGGTCCGGTATGCTCTCACATATCCCGCCGCCCTCAGCATCAGTGCTCAGGTATCGATCGGCATCGGGGCTAGTCGTTGGCGTAGATGGACATCCTCTTTCTGGATCGAGAAATTCTGCCTCGATTCTAGGGTCGATATCAACGTTCGATCTCTGTCAATATCAGCGGATCCCGCCCGGCGAAGTATCGATCGTGGTGTGGGATACTATGGTCGTTGCACTACCGGCTCCACGGGGTCCTCCATGAGTTCAGGAGGCTCCGATCTAGTATCTGCCGTCGATTCCAATGCCAGATTCTACCATTCCCAGTAACGACGTGACCCGACGGACACGAACCCTGCGGATCGAGGCACTTTGTCCTGATCCAGTATCATACCAACGTCCAGACGGTG